TAATATATATGACTGTTATTATATATAAGTATATAAACACACACATATGTATGTATATATGAGTCACTTCCTTATTTGATTAAACCATGAAAGAACAATAAAGCTCCCAACGTGAGTTAGAAGACTATCTTCATGACCTTGGTGCAGGCCGTGAATTCCCAAACAGGACAGAAACCACCCCAACATAAAGAACAGCTTTTCATTAACACTCCACTGGGGAGAAAAAGGCAAGACAGTGACTGGAATAACCCAATATACAACAAAGCACTCAATTCTAGGTTCATGAAAAATCCCTAAAATTCTCTTAAGAAAAAAAAAAAAAAAACAACCCTAAACAACCCATGTTAAAAAAAAATGGTCAAAAACTTAAAGAAATTTTCCATAAAGAAGATATCCCAGATGGCTAACAAACATCATATCACTTAACAATCACAGAATAAAACAACAACAACAAAACAAAAAATCCTGACAATGCCAAGTGTTGATGAGGATGTGGAGCAACTGGACTTTCAGGAAGTATCTAGCCCCTGCCCACTGCTCAGCACCACTTTAGGATTTGATGTCTGCTGGTCCAACTTCCTGCCCTTGGCCAGTGCATCCTTCTGCCTAAGGAGTTTTCTCAGCCTCAGGTGCAGTTCTAACTGTAACTGCAGCAGGCTCGAGGTGTGTCAGGATAAGCTCTCTGACTGGAGTGATGTATGACCAACCCAACTCCCTTGCTCTCTGATGTCTGTCTACACTATTCCTAGAGATCGTCAGTAAAATTTAGCACTAGTTATTTGCTGTGGCATTTGTTTGATAATATTCTTTCCCTGGCTCCCAAACCCCTCCCCATTTCATTTCCTTAGGCCCTATGAAATCCCCCCTCCCTACCAGAGGCTATCTCGCCAATAAACTACTGCACTCAAATTCCTAGTTTAGGTTGTATATCTGGGAAAACCCAAATTGAGAATAAGGCTATAGTCCACTATAAATGTTTACTTAAGCAGGATATAAAATTAACACCCATAAATCAAATGTGGTCTTATACATCAGTGATGAATCCACTGAAAGATAAATTAGGAAAACTACCCAGTTCACAATAGCCTTAAAAAAAAAATCTGGAAATCAATCTAACAAAAGAAGTGAAAGACTATAATGAAAACTATAAAACACTAAATAAAGAAATTGAAGATCTTAGAAGATAGAAAAATATACCATGCTCTTGGATAGGAAGAATTAACATTGTCAAAATGGCCATATTAATAAAAGCATTATACAGATTTAATGAAATTCCTATTAAAATCCCAATGACATTCTTCATAGAACTAGAAAAAGCAATCATGAAATTCATTTGGAAAAATAAGAGACCCAGAATAGCTAAAGTAATCCTTAACAAGAAATAACAAACAGGAGGCATCACAATACCAGACCTTAAGTTGTACTACAGAGACATAGTAACAAAAATTGGATGGCATTGGCACTCAAACAAATCTATAGACCAATGGTATAGAATATAGGACACAGAGACAAATCCACATAAATACAGTTATGTTAAACTAGACAAAGGTGCCAAAAACATACACAGAGAAGAGATAGTCTTTCCAACAAAATGTGCTGGGAAAACTGGAAATCCATATGTAGCAAGATGAATAGAGGTATTTTGGACTAGACAGAGGGGAGTGAAAAAAGGGTAGGGGGCTGGAGGGTAGGAATAATAGTAGAATGAAGCAGACATTATTGCCCTATGTGCATGTATGATTACATGACCTGTGTAAACGCTACATCATGTACAACAAAATGAGTGAGAAATTATACTCCATTTATGTATGATGTATCAAAATGCATTCTACTGTCAATTCAACTAATTGGAACAAATGAAAAATGAGTACTGGAATTAAAAAAAAGTTTACTTAAAAAGAAAAAGGAATGGGAGATTCTTTATTTGGATGGAAAACAATAGTTAATATTACTTAGGAGAGATGGCTTTGGTGTTGCAGGATATCAGGATATACTTCACCACTATTATCAATGTAAAAGCTGCATTTTTTTACCCACACAGATGGAAATCTGATCATATAATCAGAAGCTCTGCTAGAAGTTTCTCATCATTTATCTCAATTATTAGTCCCCTTATATTGATGAGGAAGGTGAAAGTCAGTGAGAAATAACTTGTTCAAGATCACATTATAGCCAGATATAGTGGTGCACACCTATAATCCCAGCTACTAGAGAGGCTGAGGCAAGAGGCCTGGGCAATTGAGCAAGACTCTGTCTCAAGATCAAATAAATGAACAAAAAGACTGGGGATGTAGCTCAGTGGTAAAGTGCTCTTGGGTTCAATCCCCTGTACTGGAAAAATAAAACCCATTATAATTTCATAATGATTTAGGGTGTGTTAAGTCTGACTAACTCCAAGGCTTGACCATTACATTGACCATATTTCGAACCCTTGGAAGGTGAAGGCGCTTTATCATGGACTCATTGAGACATCAAATGCAGTTATAAAACAGAGGAATGCAATGACCAGATGTTGTAGAAACTGTCTCTGACTTTAGGATCAAAGGCTAGGTTGGAGGGGGAAGGCCAGGGAAGGACAACCAGCAGGAATATCCTTTAGGCTATAAATGCAATAACCCAGGGGCAAAAATGGAAAGGGCTGAAACCAGGTTGGGGGTTATAGAAATGGCAGAGAGGGTGGATTCTAGGAATAATGGCCTGGGGAAGGAAGAGACAACTCGTGGTAACCAAACAGTTGTGGGGATTGGAGAAAGGCAATTTCTTGATTCAGATGTTGAGAAGATTTGATTTTTGATGGAGGTTGCTTTGACAATCCACTGTTCTTGGAACAGGGGTCCCCCTGGTGGTGAAAGAGAACCAAGACTGGGATTCCCCTTCCTGAGTACCTACTATGGGATAAAGTTATGCAAATGAACATAGAAATAATATTATAAGGTAAGGATGCTCTTCTTCTTTTGTGATGGCAAAGAGCCACAGCTAAAATTAACCAAAAGCCAATTGTTGCTAATGGACCAGGAATTGGGCCCTAACAACGACCTTTATCCATTCAAACAAGGCAGCTTCTGTCACCATGATTTCCCCAGAATGTCCATGTCACTGAGAGAGGTTGGCTGGTATCAGTGGTACTAAATGCAACAAATATTCAGAGACTTTCCCAGGGAGTGTTGATCTTATTTATTAAGAAATGGCAGAGCAAAGCATAGAGAGCTTAAAGCTAGTTCTATCTGAGTTTGTAGGCTTTGCCACAAATCTGCCAGTATCAGTTTCTTCCTGTGTCATTTATACACAATAGTACCTTGTGGGTACAAGGTTTGAAGTGATGTGTGTAAAGCACTAGCTCAATGCCTCCTCCTTGATGGTTGGAGGTGGAATAGTTATTACCCTCTGCCGCCCCTTAGGTAAAGTAGAGAGTCTTAGGTATATGGGATGATTCATGAATATGCTAATAAAAGGGTGTTTTCCAAAGCAGACTCCAAAGATGGCTAAACTGTTGAAACCACTCTCTCCTCCAGCCAAGTAGTACATCTAAATAGACAAAATAGCACTCCAGAGAGATTTCTGTCTCTGTTTTCTCTCTTAGGTCTTGAGCGTAGCCCTTGGAATAAGAGGAATTTTCTAAAACAGGTATGTTGAATAGGCCTGAGTCATCAACTGAGATGAGATATTTCAGAAACTTTCCATTTTAAGCCTTTGGCATGCTCTTTATTAAGTATAAATACTTAGCTTGCTGTATAAATACACACGGAGCGTCACTTTTGCTAAGTAACCCAAGGCCAGCAGCTTGAGACCGGAGAAGAGAGCCGCACACAATTGTATCTAGTGATTTCTTTCTCAAAAGCCTTTGGATCCTGGTAAGGTTTTAAGTGTTAAATCTCATAAGAATTACCTCTTGAAATCACCACAGCCTGTTTTTTTTTTTTCTTTTCCCCCAGGAGATCTGTGTGCACGCGAATTAGTTGGTCTTACCCATCCGTAAGCTTTTGTAAGCTCCCTAATGAAAACAACGGTATTTTCTTGGCTTAATTGCATATTATTGAGTGGCCTGTCCCTTATGCTATAAATATACAGTAATGAGGAGTGTTCTGTTCATTAGAGACCACCAGCATACCAGGCAATGGCATATTGGAGATTTTATTGATGTGTACAGAAAATAGAATTATTTTTTTCCCCAGAAAGCAGAATCTTAAAGGTCAAAAAATAAAAGCCTTCTTTATTCCACTACAAACACTATAGCATATGGAACAGCAAAGGCATTTAACAAAATTAATCAATGATATGTTTCTTAAAGAAAACAGAGAGGTTTTTTATTGCAATGATTTGCCTCCTTCATTATTTTGGACTCTACCTTCTTATTAGCTCTTTGGATTTTATAGTGTTTTGTAAGATAGAATAATTGATGTTTTGTCTTTTTTTCTAGATGTGTACCTAAATCTGCTGGGTATTGGGAGGTGACAGTATGCAGAATTAACTACACCACGGACAGGTCTCCCTTTGAGTCTCTGATGTCTTTCTCCTAGTGGTGGAAACCAGAACTTTTATTCAGTGAGGAAACAAGTGTCACAATCAGTGCCCACAAATAATAGATTTTTAGTGTGTTTTTTTGTATTTGTGTGTGTGTGTGTACTGAGAATTGGGGTTCTTAAAAATTATGCATGTGTATATTCGTTTATTGGATTTAAATTTCCTCCTTTTGCAAGTCAGTTGAACTAAGCCTGGACCCATTCCTTGTAGTGTTGTGTTTTAACTCAAATTCATTTTCAATCACAACTCCTTAGGATGGATATGCCCATAACAAGCAAATACAGGAGCAATGCCGCTTTCTACACACTGTATCTTTCCTTTTGCTGATTTTCTCCAAATGAGTGAGCCAAGTGTGTGTATATCTGTCCCAATAACACCCTGAAATCAAGACAGCATCTTTTTCAAGAATGTTTTGAGTTAAAAAAAAAAACCTGAAGTCATGGCAACTTGAGAATGACCACAAGGAACAGAACTCTTACCTTCCGATATCCCCAGAGCTGGTTCCCCTTCATGCCATGACAGTCATAGAGAGTGACTGGGCTGTTGTATGAGATTGCATCAAAGCAGAACTTTCGGGTATGCAGTGGCTCACCAGGTCGAATATCTTCTCTCCACCCAAAGGTAAAGAGCTAACAAAGCAATGGTAGCAGAAAAGCTACAATGAGTTCAATTTGGAAAGAAGATTCCAGAGCAGAGGGAGGTATGTCTTTTGGCAACATAGAACCCATGCTTTGTGACTTACAAGAGAGAACCAAGTCTGGGCTTAATAGAAATGTCGAGAAGGCATGTTTCCTAAAGTACTGGAGCAGCATCACCTTGGCATCTCTGACCCAGGCTGATCAAAATGTAAACAAGGAATTTTCAGTTAGGCAATAGGGGGACACGTCAGAGGGTGGTGGCATGGTGGGAGGAGAGGGGAAGAGAAAGAGAAAGAGAGGGAGAGGGGGGGAGAGAGAGAGAGAAGGAGAGAGGTGTATTAAGAGAGGAGGAAAAGGAGAAAAGAGAGGGAGAGAGGGGAGAGGGAGGAAGTGGAAGAGGAAGGAAGTCTTTAATAATACTTTACATTTGTCATGTAAGTAAATGTTACTAGATTAAATGTTACACTAAACTTAAATGAGCAGATTAACTACAAAAGGACAAGGATTAGAGTTAAACTGGACTCATGCTAACACCTTGAAAGAAATTTCTTTTTCCTTGGTACTAGGGATTGAACCCCAGTGTGCTCTACCACTAAGTCACACCCCCAGCCCTTTTAATTATTTTTTTTGTGTGTGTGTGTTTGTTTGGGATCTTATTAGTTACTGAGGCTCTCATTAAATTGCTGAGGCTGGCCTTGAACCTCCTGTCTCAGCCTTCTGGGATTACAGGTATGCATTGGCCTGGCTGCCTTGGAAAATTTAAAGGAAAAACTAAGCTCGACAGAGTACAGAATAGGCAAATTAATTTTCTTGGGTTGTTAAGGGTAATTCTGCATGGCAATATAGGAAATTGTACATTGTAACTCACAGTAAGAGACAGACTTTACAGACATACACACTGACCTCTCCTCACCCCAGCTGAAGCAGAAGTGTCATGGAATGACATTTACCTTGACTGCATTTAATAGACTCTGATAACTCCAGCCAGACTTTTCCTATCCTGGTCTATCCTATCCATCCCACCCCATGATATTAAAAATGCTGTTTATGATTCATTGAATTGATTTTACAATGTGTTAAATACAGAAAAAACAACCCTGCTCCTATTGGGGAAGGGCATTTTCTTGAGTTATTTGAGCCAAACTACATTTGAGGGATATAGCAGGAAAAATCCTTAACTAACAGAAAAGAGACGAGATGCACCCTGCGATTTCTTCCAGTCCTTCACTTTCAGAAAGGTTATATAATTTTTACAATAGGACTTAAGGCAGGCTGCCTGCATGAAGCCAAGCTGTGAGCCTAAAAGAAAAAAAAAATAAAAACGACGAGCTATTGGGAAACTACGTTGATAGAAAAGCAAGCACAATACTGAGCTGTGTGTACAGAATACACTTCACAGTGACCCGGCCCCCAGTAGATTTCAGGTTTCAGGTCCTACTCAGGAAAAGAAAAATGCAGAAAGAAATCCCTGGCACAATTCCAGGGATGTCTAACAAAAGCAGTTAAATTGTGGGGATTCTGAAGAAAAATGGAAAGAACTGGGTTAAGTGGTCTAAAGAAAATAAAACAGAAGTGGTTCAAATCAAACATGAGAGAAGATTGTCTGGGAAACGTTGAGGGGCTGTATCCTGTTTCCCTGGAAGACAAGAAAAAAAGAGAATTTCTCAAATGCAAGGACAAGGGGTTTTAGGTCAGGCACTTGAAATAGATTCATGAAGAAGAACTGTAGATTTCCTTTTCCTAGAGCTAGGTGCCCCCTCCTCCCCCAACACTATTGTGACTGAAGCATTTTTTTTTTGACACATTTAAATCCTGTGTGGAAAAAATGACTTCTTAAGGTCTGTTCCGTGTTTCTGATTTTGATCACTCTCTTCTAATTAGAACTTGGTACCCCTATGATTTTTGAAATCCCATACTCTATCTTGTCCACCCTCTTTTTTTTTTTTTAAGAGTCTTTTTTTTTTAAGCTGTAGTTGGACCCAATACCTTTATTTTATTTATTTTATGTGGTGCTGAGGGTCGAACCCAGTGCCTCATATGTGCGAGGTGAGCACTCTGCCTCTGAGCCACAACCCCAACCCCTTGCCCACCCTCTTGTATCCATCTTTTCACTTCAACATAGGTGTTTCTCAGGGTTCTCTCTTTTTCCTGTGTGGCCCTTAACACTCTCACTTCAATGCTCACTATATGCTGATCACCTATTGTCTGTGTTACCTTCAATTCCTTGTAGGATTCCCCAACTCTACACCTGTGAACAGCTTAAATTCAGCAATGTTATGTTTGGATGTGAGGTGTCCCCCAAAGCTCTGGTGTTGATGCAAGAACATTCAGAAGTGAAAGACTCAGAATATAAGAGCTGTAACTTAATCAGTTCATCCTAGTTTGAATAGACTGACAGGGGGCTAACTGTAGGCAGGTGAGAAGTGGTTGGAGGAGGTGGGTCACCGGCAGTGTTCTCTGGAAGGGTTCACCTTCTGTGTGTCCCCTCTGCTCCCATTTCTTGATCCTGTCATGAGCTGAGTAGCTTTCCTGCACTGGGTCCTGCCTCCATGGTTTGCTGCCTCACCTTGAGCCCAGACCAATGGAGTCAGCCACCTATGGACTGAGAACTCTGAAACTGTGAGCTCCAAATAAACTTTTTTTTTTCTCCCCTAAGTCGTTTTGGTTGGATATTTTGGTCACAGTGACGCAAAACCTGACTAAAACAGAAACTGGTACCAAGAAGTGTGGTCGTTTCTGTGACTAACCTGATTATGTGGTTCAGAAGCCTTTAGAGTTGTTTGTGGGAGGAATTTTGAAAAGTTTAGAGATACAACAACCTAGAAAAGATTTAGCACATTGTAAGCACAACTTAATGGGGGAATTCTGGTGGAATCTCAGAAGATCAGAATGCTGATGGGTGCAGACTGTGCTCGTGAGGTGTCAGAAGGAAATGAGGATTTATTGGGAGTTAGATTAGAGATGGCACACGTTATATCTGGCAAAGAACTTGGCTACATTTTCCCCATATCCTGAGACTTTATGTGAGGATGAATTTAAAGGAAATAGACGAACCTGGTCAAGGAAATTTTAAGGCAGCACAGCATTCAGTTGGACATTGCTGGCAGCTTTCAGATAGGTTTACTGTCAAATAGGGAGCAGAAAGCAGAGCTAAAGGATTTTAAAACATCACAGTTTGGCCAGAAAAGTACATGTAAAGCTGGGGTCAAGGAAGGTGTGTTTGTTAAAGAGGCTTTACTCTCTAAAGAGATGCTAAGTACTTTACATAGAGACTCCAGGACAGATGCCTTGAGGGCATCTCAGGAATTTGGAAGACCACACTTTTTATAGGGTCCAGGGCATAGAAGAGAACATTCCTTTGAGAAGAGATCATAGGGATTCCCTGCTCACACAGGTAGGTCTAGGAAACTGTTTCACCATGCTGAGCTGTGCAAATACTCAGAGGCTCCTGTAGCCATGATTCCAGAGGGGCAAATGTTGTGTAAGATAGCAGCAGACCAAGTGGTACTGATTCTATAGGAATGCAGAATGCTGGAGTTAAGGGGTGATGGAGGCTTCCACCAAGATTTTAAAGGAAGACCTGGAAGGCCATGTGAAGTGTATAGGGTCATAGTCCCTATGGTTTGTCCTGAGAGGGTGACATGTGAAGCTGTGAAGATGAAACTGAACCTTGAATGAAGACCCCCAGGAATTGAGAGATGCCAGTAACATGAACTGTCTGCTGATAAAAATGGCTGGCTGTGGAAAGAACAAGATTAAAAGAGAGTTTGTGTGCAATGCAATCAGCAAGTCCAAAGGGACAGGGCTGCCCAAGCTCTGGTGAGCATATCTTCCAACCATGTGTCCCAGATTCCAGAGATGGAGCTCCAAAAATTATTTGCCAGGCTGGGTTTAGATCTTGCTTTGGCTCCATCCCTTCTTTTCTATGTCCCTATGTACCTCCCTTTTGGAACGGGGATGTTTATTCTGTGCTACTGTATCTTGGCTACAAGTAACTTGCTTTTGATTTTTTACAGGGGCTCATAGCTAAGAGTATGCCTTGAGTCTCAGACTCCTTTAGACTTGGGAAATGCTGAAACAGAGACTATGGAACTACCAGAGATGGACTAAATGCATTTTGCATTGTGAGATAGACATGAACTTTTGGGAGCTGAGACAAAATGTTATGGTTGGAAGTGAGGTGTCCTCCCCCAAAAGATCTCCTGTTAAGGCAGAAATATTCAGAGGTAATATTATGATTGAGAGCTATAACTTACTCATCTATCCTAGTTTGAATGGACTGACTGGGTTGTAACCATAAGCAGGTGGGGTGTGGCTAGAGGAGGTGAGTCACTGGGTATGCCCTGGAAGGGTGCATTTTCTCCCTGCAGTTTCTCTCTGCTTCCTGACTCTGCCATAAACTGAGAAGCTTTACTCTTATGGGCTCTTTTTCCATGATGTTCTGCCTCACCTTTGGCCCAGAGTAGTGGAGTTGGCCATCTATGGACTGAGACCTCTGAAACTGTGAGCACCAGATAAACTCTCCCTCCTCTAAATTGTTCTTGTCATATATTTTGGTCACAGCAACAAATAAACATATCTTAAACTCAAGTTAATTTTCTTTCCTTCTAGCCTTTTCCTTTATTTCATTTTAGTTGGTAGTTATGGCATCCAACTTGTCAACACAGTAATTTTTAACTCCTTACCTTCTTCATCTAATCAATTACCAAGTCTTGCCAATTGTGTCTTATAAGCACCGTTTTCAGAATTAATCCTTTTTTCTCTTTCCTCACAACCACTGCTCTCAGTATCTCTTGCCTAGATTAGTGCAGTGACCTCCTAGCTGATTTCTTCCCCACTTTCCTTTTTGGATTTCCAAACATCTGTCTTTCTCAGCTTCTAAAGAAGTCTGTTTGAAATGCTTGTTTGGCTATGTTCGCTTCCAATCCAAATCTCTACAACCCTTAGAGAATAACATTCAGACATTTTAACACAGGAGGAACTTTTTGCCA